TTCGAACAGTTATAATATCTGGTAATATCAGCAATTGTCTCTTCTATAATCGATCCCTTATTGAAATATTTATTTCTTTAAAAAAATCTTAACCTTCGATTAATTTATTCTTATCAAAATGGATAGAGAATTTATTTATTTTTTTTCATAATATAAAATAATAATAATAAAATAACAATATTTATCCTTCTAATACCGTTAATATGAGGCAATTTCGGAGATTATTTCAACCCGTACACAATATTAAATTCAATAAAAAGTGATTTTTAAATTATTAGAATTAAACTCTTTTTCTAATTTAATTTAACGAGTGGAATTTTACTGCTTAAAAAAATTGCACATTTACGATTTTCAATTTAGTCAATTCACCTAAGTCATAACAGCTTTATTACCTTATACATTATTATTATTTTTTTTTTTAATGCAGAAAATATATTAAAGTGTGTATAGAATTAATTTTGTAAATTTAATTCAATAATCTAAATTTTAGAACCGATTTTTCTCGATCGTTTAAAAAGAATCCCTACCTCAACCATGATGCAAATTGTCATTACGTTTTAATTAACCGGAGTTTTTTATTTGATGGATTAAATCGTTATTGTGTTCAATAAAATGTAATGACACTAAGTAGATTGATCATACTTATTTGAATCACGTGGCACATGAACAGTCATTCACGTATTTTAATTGATAAGGTAGAATACCCGTTTAAATTTGTTATTTGAAACTGTTTATTCGTGTTGTTATTCTTTTTTTTATTATGAGTAATTGCTACTAGTTGCTTAAAATATAAGTCATAGTTGAAGATGATTACCATAATTCAACTAAAAATTGCCGTAAAAGAATTTGATAACTGTAATTGAACCATGGAATAAGAATAAAAGAAAAGGTGAAAAAATTTCGAGTTGGCATTTTTCTTCTTCAACTAAAATAATAGTTAATAATTCATGAAAGTTCTCCCCCTTTTGGGATGCTTCCAATAAATATCGAAAATTTCGGTAAAGTAGAAATGTTTGTAGAAAAAAAAATAATAATAAAATTTTAAGCTATATCTGTAAATAAATATATTATATTTATTTATTTTAAAGTTAAATATTATACTTTATAAAGTAACTGGGAAAATGACATTATCGATGTGTAATGAATGATGTTGAGATTTATAATATAATTATTTATTTACGTTTTACAATTGTTTTTGTATGGAAGCACTTTTATTTATCGTCATGTATAAAAATTATTTTTAAAAAATTCAAGCAGTTTTATACACAATTTAATTATTTAAATAAAATGTACACAGTTTTAAATGTAACTCTCAAAAATTTTCTTCGTGTGAATTACCGGTTTTAAAGAAAAGAATCGCAATTGTATTCGCTTTTCCTACTTTTTTTTATGTATATAATTTCTGATTGTTTCGTTATTATAATTGGTGTGAAGGTCGAATACTTTCTTTCAAAGATATATGTCACAGATAGAAAATGTTTAAAACGGTGTAATGAGGTCATCTCTTTATTTTCTTCAAGTAGCCTACTTCTATATCAAGTTCTTATTATTCTCTTTATATTTTTATATACAGATGCAGATATTGATGTCATACGGTACTACAAAATAGTTATTTCGTATTTTTAATCGATATATGTTATATTACAAGATACAGATTATCTATGTATCGACTTTGTTATTAGTCATAATGTCTTCAGCAAAAGTATTTTCCAAAATGGCAACTGTTGTACAATGATTCAAATTTTATTATTTATATTGTGATTCTAGTAACCCCGTCAGAAAAAAGTAACTCCAGTTTGAGGATTCATTTCTCTTTTCTACCATTGTTTCTGAGCTAAATATATGATTTTGAATTTGAAAATTTTATTAGTAAAATATTTCAGATTATCGGCGACAAGTTATGGAGAATATTTATTATATAACAGAAACAGAAGAGGGGAAAATCTATAAATAATGTAAATACAACAATGTAAACTTGGAAAAAATGATTATTGTTCTTTCTCTTTTGTTAAGTTTCTATGTATAAGATTCTTACTTATTTATAATGAATAAAAATAATAATATAAATAAAAAAATGGCCTAAACAACCTTTATATTCTAGCCTATAGAATACAAGAATAAAATCATCACGCAGTATATGCTTTAATTTTTGATACATGATAATATAAGTTCATGCAGTTGTCTTAGCGTGTATATAGAATATTAATATGCATTATACACGCAGACAAAACTTCGTCAACCGAACACAGTTTATTTTACAGCAATGTCAATTTCCTAGTTTAATTTTTATTTTCAGAATAGTTTTTGTATGCTATTGTTATGTGTGTTACTCGTAATTCCTCAGTATCACGGTGTATTTGTCATTCATTACTCCCACTAACGCCATATGAGATTATCAATATTTAATCACTGTAGAAACACTTTTAAAGAAAACTTTGTATTATTTATATTATATAGGCTATAAAAGAGATTTCAATTTATAAACAAACAAAACGTGGGTTTCTTCCTCTTTTTTAACACGAATTTATTATTAGTATTACAATAGATCAGTTTGATTTATATCAACATTAAATTTGGTAGCAAATTCCTCTCGCGGTTTAGGAATTGTGCAAATGGGTATCTTTTATCATCAGAGAAAAATGCCAACTGGATCTTTCTACCTCTTTCCATTTAATGGATGAATTCGAAAAATTCTGTCTACTACATTAGAAAATGAAAATAAGTATCAGATATTTTTATATGTATCAAAAGAATTTCAAATAGTTTATACCGTTCAAAAATGAAATTTTACAGCTTTGAAAATGCTACGATGACATATTCTTATCATCAAGGTTCATTACGCTAAAGCTATATATGAGCGTTATAGAAATGGGAGTATAAATAACAGTATGATAAATTAAATAGAATGATATAAAAATGTAAATTTGCTTCTGTTTTATATATTTTATAGATATGTCAGTCTCCGTTGTAGCAAGTTTTTGGTTATCCTAACACTATAGCCTAATACAGTATTATAGATTTATATGATGTATTTATATGCTAGATATTACCTATTTAAATAGGTAATCTCATTTATAGATGATAGCAAATTAAAAACTCGTTTTTTTATTTGTGTAAAATTTTGGAAAATCGACCCCATTAGTTAAAGTGTTCCTATACGCCTATGGCTAGTATATGTTTTATATATTTGTTATTTTTATATATTTTATATAATATATATATATTTATTTATAACAATACACTGTTTTATAGTAGAAAGATAAAATTTAGAGACTTTGTGTAATGTCGGTACAGAATCGAGATAATAATTATGAAACCACAAGGAAACAAAGGTGTGGGTTAATATCTTACGACACATTTCTCGTATTTGTTTTCTATACCGATAATATCTGTATACAAAACAATACAATTTGGTAGCAGACACCTATGACTCATCATAAAATCCTGTTTTGTCTAGATTCCTTATCGGCATTTAAGTCTATGATAGGGTAAAAATTCTCTACAATTGTTAGATTAAATATGGTCTTACGGCGTTTGAATTGAATGCCGAATATCTAAACGGACTAACAATATGTCATTAATAAACTTGTATTTTTTAATGATAAAAAAATTCAATAGTTTTTAAATTGTTATATGTAGTTTAATAATAATAAAATCTACGTTAAACAATATCATATTAAAGTATATTAGACTTACATAAATCGGTTTTGTGATAATCTATAAGTATATAAAGTGATTTTTAAACAAGTAAAGATTAAAAGACAAAGTATTTATATAAAATTTCTTTTATTACAAATAAAATAGTCTTTAAAACTATTCTAAAATAACAAAGATATAGATAAATGTTTGAAAAATTGTTATCATAGAATACAGAGTTTAACATATTTATAATTAATTAACCCTTAAAATTTATTAGTAGAAATTGTTAAATTGAAATTTAACATATTATTTAAACTAGTGTAATGTTAATTATTATTAATATTAATATAAAAACGTGTAAGTTTATTTTAAATTATTATTATTAAATAAGTTAACAAGAAATAAACATCTTTAATATTTCTTTATTTTCCTTCTTTAACTCTTATCGGATATTATTGCCAAAACCGTTTAGATGTAACTTATACAATATATAAATTGATTATTTGCTTCGTTCAAGTCTGAAAGGACTTTGGAAATCGATAAAATAAACGTTTTGGAAAGGATGCTGCCGCGTATATAATACTTTTCTAAATTTTAATTTTTATTCATTTTTGTATTTATTACTCTTCATTCGAGGCAGAAGGTCGAGATTAATGACCTTTATTAGTATATTTATATAATTTTCCCTCAGATACATTTTCGTTTCTCTTTTTAGTATATTTTGATTGGTTTTTCTAGTGTTTTTACTGCTTCTATAGCTTAGTGAATTTAGAATTAACCTGTTCGGTAGGCCCACTTACACAAATATACGTTCATTCGCTATGTTATGATTCATATATTTATAAATTTTTAAACTACCGAATTCTATCGATAAATCATTAAGTAAATATAGTTATAATTAGTGCAATGTTACAGAATGGTACCAAAAGGTTCTCGCGTGTTTTGTATATTCTCGTGAATACATAAATTACAATTATTCCTTCTTCCTAATAAAACATGTATCGTGATGTATAATTTATTAGATCAAAATTATAAACGCACGAAAAAATAGAGTGTATCATATTGTGTTTATAACGCATTTCAATAATTTTAGAAATTGAAATTCTTTCTTTTATGTACAGACTCTGTCAGAAAATAAGCTCTGTGTTGTAAATTTTCTCTTTCATAAATTCTCGCAGGTTATTATACGGTAAGAGAGACAACAATAATAGTGCTTTCGGTATTTTACACGTAAATAATTCAAGAAAGGGTGTTTCTAATTATATTATTATTCATGAATTTATAAACAATCTTATAACTTATTAACGTTAATAAATAAATAATTTATTACGTATATTTTTTTCTTTTTTTGTTTTTTACAGAATTATTCATGATAGTGGTTTCACAGCGGAGGATTTCAGGCAGTACAAACCCGTAGTGTACAGTAATACTATACAGTCAATGGTAGCTATACTACGAGCGATGCCAAATTTGAGTATTAGTTTTGCCAATAATGAAAGGGAGGTAAGAATACGAACGTTATATATAAATAACTGATCTAATACTTTATATAGAATATAATAAAAAAAGAAATTATTGTTTCTATTTGTATAAATTTCGGACGTATATTGATCCTGGAATAATGACGCGCAGTCATGTGATTTTGGCGCCTTCCTGTCGCGTTTTAGCCTCTTTGATGTTCTTACTAACACTCAATACCATTTGAATATTTATCGAGTCAATTTTGATTAAAGGTAGAATGTCTGTTAAATAGATTTTCACCCGGCCCAACGCAATTGGTTTTTCGTTTTTATGTAAAAATGTACGCCCATCACGTGATATGATCGATAGTAACCTTTTACACTAGAGGATAAGATAACACGGAAGAAAATTTTATCAATGTTACGAAAGAGGTTTGCTTTTATTTATAAGAACTGTTCGATCACTCAAGGAAATAAAAAAAAAAGAAAAAGCAATTTTTAACTTTGGAGAATCAACAAAGATTTTTTTTAAAACTACGATTAAAAGCAAGAAAATGTAGCTTCTTTTTATACACGTAAAATATTTAAACCTATATTATGTGGTGTGTCATGTATATTAAGTAATATGTATCGTGAGTCTGTATTGTGTGACAAATTATTTAAAGAGTATTGTAGACTATGCAATATAAGCTAAGAATTATATTTTTATATTCTAAACTCATACTTTCTCTTAATTGAAATTTCTAATATTTTACGATAACTAAAAAGGGAAGTGTGCATTAAAAACATATATACTGTATATATCAACATATTTAAGAAAAATATCAGATAAGTAAAACGTGTTAAATTCATAATAATAATTAAATTACAATAACAGGTACGAATGATTTCGCGATATAAAAATTAACAGTAAAGATTGTATAAAATATTAATCCGTTTATATTGTGTATATAAGAAGAAATATGTTACCTTCCTTAAGCATTATATTCCGTTAGTGTTACAAGTATGTAGATATTGACATAAAAGCTGATTTTTAAAACTAATCTACAGTAAAGGAAAAACAGCTTAACATCGTAGTAGAAGCGATATCTTTCCGAAATATTAGAATTTAAATAGCAATTCGAAAAGGTTTTCAATGCTGACATTCGGAAGCTTACTATATTTCTCCGTGACCTTAATGAACTACGAACGTGGCTACACCCATAAGGCACAGGCTGCTGCTTAGCAACTGTTTCCGTAACTAGGAAATATCCACCCATCCGATGCACTCTCGACATTTTCATTACCAACAATAGACCCTACCCATTCTTTTTGCGGGTAAGTTCAAAGGCACGCTTCAGTCCAGATGGGCGTCTATGACCTTTTCCTCAGCTTCCCAAATGCCAAACAACGATACTCGCGAACTCGCATCATCAATATTCATTTAGTTACATTTTCTGATGATGTTTTATATTCGATTCCAAAGCGTCACAAATTCGATTTGCAAATATTCCACCAACGATTTAAAATTTTAATAGTTTCCGTAATGAGATTTACAATTGCATTATAAAGATAGATAAAATAGATTTAAGTACAAACTTTTAAACATTTATATCTGTAAAAACCGAATTAAAAAACTCGAATACATTTATTACGTATCATTTATGATGATTTCTTCTATTTTTATGATATTTAAAACTATCGATTTATACGATATTTTCTAGCTAAAATATTTCTCATTTCCAAATTAAGAAAATAAATTTCTTATTTAAACTTTATTAATAATGTAGATCCTCTTAAACGATTTAATTATTATATTAATGTTTAAAAAACAAAATAAAGCAAATCCCGCGAATAAACACGAAAATCAGAATTAAACCTACTTGACGCTATGGCTTATAATCGATAGCATTTGAAAATGTATAGGCTGTGTCGATATAAATTGCAATATATACTCCATTCACTTAGGATTAGAATAAAGTATTATTCACAGTATTAATCTATAAGCCACCATGACGTATTTAAAAAAATAATAATAATCAGTGTTGCGTGAGATAGCACACTAATCTCTATTGCAAAGTGCGCTACACGTTGAGTTCAGTAGCCTTTAATTCCATTCAGATTCTTCGTTTTCTATCGGTTTTCTAAACATTAAATGACAATGTCAGAATTTCCAGCTTCGGAAACAAATCGTTACAGGAAAAAGTCGGCTTCATAAATTATAATAAACTACATATTTTACATTTCGAATTCGTAAAGATCTTTTCTAATGTCGATTTTATAGCAGTTCCATTATCTAATCGACACAATCGAGAATTTCGAATTTTATCTTAATTTTAAATTAGTGTAATCGCATTTATTTATTACGGTACATATTTTATATATTATTGATAAGGAAGGACGTTTTACAACCGTAAATGTTCGATCTTCTGACACAATGTAACAAATGTTCTTTGAACAAACATGCGATCACTTGTGCAGAACGAATAACATCCTTTTATCTTAATTACGCCATCTTTTATTCTCGCGACCTTCGGGGTTAGCCCGGTGTCTGGATAATGTCAACACGTCAATCACTCTGTTATTTATTTTCAATTAAACCTATTTATTATTTAATGTCTGGAAAATCTCAAATTGCAACCTTTGTTGTGATTCTTCAATGAAAAATTTTTGAATTTTTATTCGTATTTTAAACAAGAAGCATCTTTACCTAAGACTATCAATAGGCCATCAACGAGTAAGAAATTTAATTGGCTATTTTAAAGAAAAATTTATTTAAATTTTAGGCTGATGCGAAGATGGTTTTCGACGTGGTGGGAAGAATGGAAGATACTGAACCATTTTCCGAAGAACTGCTTAGCGCTATGAAACGGTTGTGGGTGGATGCCGGAGTTCAAGAATGTTTCGGAAGATCCAACGAATATCAGCTCAATGACAGCGCCAAATAGTAATTATCTATGCCAATTTATTATATATAACGTTATAAAAATCCATCTTAAATAATTTTGATCAAATGGCATTAATAGTTTTTTTTAAACCATTTTTAAATTTACCTCTTATCTTCATTTATTTCATCGATCTTTATTGGATCTTTCATACATGAACGGTTCACTGTAAGAATTTACTGTTCAGTTTTCACGTCTGAAAATTACTTAAAAGTTTTTGTAATTTATAAAAAATAATTATTATTTTAAAAAAATTATCAGAAAAAATAATTATTTTTTCTGATAATTATTTTAAAAATCAAATAATTATCAGAAAATCAAGCTACGGATTATGTTGTAAAAATTATTTATCGTGTGGGATGTTTGCTTTCTATATTGAGAACCGAGAGACATCTCCAAAGTTGCACTTTTACGTTAGATATTCGATACATAGTCAAGAAACAATGTTTGACTTAGAATTATATGGACATAAATGAAAGGTCAAACGGATTACAATTTCGTTTCATATAAAATATAATCAACAAGAATAAAACTCAATATTTCGGAGCGTGCAATTTTATTTTCAAAGGTATGGCTAACATTTTTTAATTAATTAATTTTCAAATTAGATTTAACCGGCTCTAAATTCGGGTTGTGTATATGTTTTTAGGCCCGGCAGTGAACCCTGTTTTACTTTTTTTTCGAATTTTCGACGTTAAAATAAATAAAGTATTTAATGCGTTTGTTGATCAGTCGTGGAAAGGTAAAATCAATCAATATTTACCGATGTTACACTACTAAGCGGAATAGTAAGAATGTCTGGCGATAAAAATCCCTCTTGTGGTTTAAGGTCCATGTTGCCATCGCTATGGCAACCAACAAACAAACGCCCATGAATTTTAAAACTATTATTATTTTATTTATTCGACGAAATTTAATAACACGTTCGTTGTAATGTTTATCACNGCTATGGCAACCAACAAACAAACGCCCATGAATTTTAAAACTATTATTATTTTATTTATTCGACGAAATTTAATAACACGTTCGTTGTAATGTTTATCACTATATTTAAGCTAATTTGTATTAACATATATTTTTAATATTGAAATTTTATAAAGAAATAAAGTTTAAAAAATAAGAAGAAGAATTAAACTGTACCGAAATGATACTATCCGTATGCAAATTAACATCCTTTTCTATATTCATCAAGTTTAAAAAAAAAAAAAACTAATTCATTAATTCGATTTCAAACATGCCCTGGGATTGCATGTTACTATAAATAGCCGTTCTGGTGAGTCCGGCGATGCTGTTGTCATGGATACGCCGAATGACGTCGCTGTGATGTCATACAACAACGTCTAGTCCTTTTCATCGTTTGTTCTGAAATCGTTCTCGGTCGAATGTCATAAATGGCGGAATCTTCGATATATCTACAGCATATTATTATTATTATTATTATTCCTTGCATGCGAGATACGAAACCTGTAATATTTTTAAGATTTATATAATGATTTAATTTTAAAAAATAATTTTGTTTTAATTAAATCATTAGATGGAGCCACCGAAATACGTCGATTGAAATGCATACTTCATCAAAAGGATAGAACGAGTGTGTTACTTTGTTAGGAATCGTGCTACTCGGAATTTCATTTGGTGAAATACAAACTTAAAGAATTTTATTTTCTCTGTCGAAATTTAGAAAGCATTTTAAAATTTTCTATCGATGTCAAAGCAGTTACAGTGAAACAAAAATTGCAGAAAAGGTCCCCTTGGGAAAAGGGGAAGTAAATTCCGTCTTTTATTTTTCTTTCGCTTGACCTTTGACCTACACTTGCCAGATAACTTCTTAAGTCAATAAAAAAACTTTAATGCTGTATAAAATTTTATGACAAATTTCGATAGTAGAAATTATATATACTGTATCTTTTTGTTTTTGTTAACGTCAGATCTTTCATTTTAGTATGGAATTTTGTAAAAATTTCATATGAATTTTTTTTTAATATTCAAAAACTAGTTTATATTTTATTCATTTACATTCAGACCTTATATTACTAGGCCCTATATTCTTCTACGAAGGAAACAATATACTAATCCAATATATCTTACGATCTTAAATAATAACGTTTAATGAAGATTAATTCATTATTCTTTTTTTTTACTTTATCTGAAATTTCTTTTATGCTTAAGACAGTGTTCTTGTGGCAATGTGTTGGGTGGAAATTGGTATTTTCTATTATTAATTAATTTATTGAATGTAAATTAGTTAAGCGTTTATTCGATAACTCGATAAATGGTTGCGATCAAAAAATAGCTTAGTTTATTTGAAAAATTAAATTAATTTATCCATTATCTATGATAAATACTTTACAATGAGCACGTAAATGTCAATAGGCCATCAGAACTACCGTCAAAAAGCCTAATTATACCTAGAAATGGTATCTAAAATAATCTAATCTCCCTTAATTATGGCACAAATTTCCACAATGTACTAAATTATTGAATAAGAAAATATATAGATTAACACATATTTTACTGGGCCGCAATTTTCAAAAACTGTAGACTTAGAAATTCCCATTGTTGGTCGTCTCTGTTGTCTGTCCTTCCTTAATCTCGAGAACGGAGTTAGGTAGATGAAAGTCGAGACTATATACGGAAATCTTAGGGGCATGTGGCCCCGATTAACTATATACGAACTTTCGGTTTTGACAGTAATTCACGTTATTTTAATTCAAAAATTTTTTCTGAATAGAGCTAGATAGACCGGCATGACTCCATTGTTGACAGGAGAAGTACGATGTACAGGGGCACGACACTATTGAAATTAGAGCCCGGCACTGACGATGTCACAATAAATAATTGCTCGTTAAAACTTAAAATCATAAAATTTATTTTTCATATCCAACACTCGTGGTTTCTTCTTATTTAGGAATTATCTATCCATATAATTTAATCTGGTGTCATAAAAATAAAAGTAATGGGCGAATGTTATCAAAATTTTAAATGCTTTGGATTTTTTTTTGTATTAACTTATAATGGACAACATAGAAATGAATATTAAATATACATAAAGTCGTTTAACCTAATAGTAGCATTTTAGATTATACCAAACATTTTATAATTTAAAAAAATCAAATTAAATTCTGATCTTTCTAAATTATAGTTTCATCGACGATTTAGACCGATTGGGTTCTAAAGATTACATGCCTACGGAACAAGATATTCTTAGAACTAGAGTCAAAACTACAGGAATAGTAGAAGTTCATTTTTCTTTTAAAAACCTGAATTTTAAGTGAGTTATTAAGATTTAAAATTTGATCTATTTAAATTAACTAATTAATAGGAATATATCTCTTCTACTTAAATCAGGTTATTCGATGTAGGAGGTCAGAGGTCAGAGAGGAAGAAGTGGATTCACTGCTTCGAAGACGTAACGGCTATTATATTTTGTGTGGCTATGAGTGAATACGATCAAGTTCTTCATGAAGATGAAACAACTGTGAGTTATTTTAATTAGAGTTTAATTTTCGCCTTTGCATCTCTAAATTATAACTTTATTTTTCAGAATCGTATGCAAGAAAGCCTCAAATTGTTTGATTCTATATGTAATAATAAATGGTTCACTGATACATCAATTATTTTGTTTCTTAACAAAAAAGATTTATTCGAAGAGAAAATTAAGAAATCACCACTCACTATTTGTTTTCCTGAATATACAGGTGAATATAAATTAATAGAATAGTAAATTTTAACATGGCTATCAGTTGGCATACATTTATATTTAAAAATTTGATATATTGTTACCGGACTTACACTTGTGTTTATTTGCAATGATATCTGTTCTATAATATATAAAAATAGTCTAGAATAATAGTTTAACTTAATGATATCTGTTGGAATAAATGAATGTTTCAAAATAATTATCTCTCCAAATACATTTACTGATTCTTAGAAAATTTATTGTCTAAATGATAAAATTCTCGGAATTAACCTGCAAAAAGCACTCTGATTAATAAGATTGTGCAATATAGCGTAATGTTAAATGAACGACCAGGACTGTGCTTTTCTACCTGCTGATCACAGTTACTTTTATAGATCATATAATTATATATTTGTAGTAATTTTTAGCATGGTTTCTCTTATCATTTTATTATATTTTTTTATTTTATAATTTCATAATTTAAATATCATTCTCATTAGTTATTATATACTAATTACAAAAATTTCAAAATATTGATAGTTGCATGTTTGGCATCTATTCTTTGAAAATTTATTATAAAATACTGATACACAATCTTTGGTATCTAACTATTGAAAATTAAAAAATAAAAATGGTAACTACTACATTTCTACTAGAAAAGCAAAATTAATTGCATCGCTTTACTGTTTTTAATACATTTTACAGGTGCCCAAGAGTATGGAGAAGCAGCAGCCTATATTCAAGCTCAGTTTGAAGCCAAGAATAAATCAACCACCAAAGATATCTACTGCCATACGACATGTGCCACAGATACCACGAACATACAATTTGTGTTTGATGCAGTAACTGATGTGATCATTGCTAACAATCTGCGAGGATGCGGACTCTATTAAAAGAAAAGGACTCCGTTCTCCCGTCGTAAGATGTCTCGCCTAGGGTTAAAAATCCAAAAGCTTGAATTCAGTGGATTATCAAAACCAAAATTTCTTTCATTTGTAATTGCTGTTGTTTTCAAATTGGTGATTTGTACTCTGCAAAAAGGTACAAGAGAACGGGCGAGAAGTAGAAAAGATAAGAAATTTTGTGGTTAATAAGGTGACGGGACTGTAGCCTCGGGCACTTTATACTTTAACCACTATTCTACCAACCATCTAGTCATGTGCAAGCTATTTGAACCCAGAAATGCTTCGGCTTAGAGTATCCCGGATTTGATGCTTTTCTTGTGATTGTTATTTGCCAGAAGTTTGGCAAACCGTGTCTAATGGCCCATCTTTTCATTCGTTGTATTGAATAATTGCATTTGATGAATGTCTTTAGCTGGCGTACTAGAAAGGTTATCCTCATGGCTGATGGATAAATTGAAATCATATAAAAATATCAATCGAAATTTTCACATTTCAAAACTGGTCGGGGCACAATTTCAAATCTTAATCTCTTTTTGATTCATAATATAACAATTAAAAATGATAATGATGATGATTAAAAAAAAAAAAAAACTTAAATTTACTTGACCATCTTTCGCTCTTCACAAAAATTTTTGCATTTGACAATGCATCACTGGCAGTCTTACATAAAAAAAAAAAAAAAACCTCATGAAATGTGCCTCAATTGTTAATTTAGGAAAGGAAGGAGAAATCTAGGTCACAAGATCAAACCGACGAGTAGATATGGGACCATGTTATCACTAAAGAGGATGGTATCACCAGTGGCGTCACCATGCACATTCTATTTGGCTTCTGTGCCAATATCATTATTCTTCATATTCTCTGTGCATTTCTTCTGTTCGGGTATGCAGTATCTGCAATCTTGCCCAGTACACTAATCAAATGTGTTTAGCATTTTTAAGAAAAAAACAAAGCAGAATGGTTTGCACAGGATGCTCACCAGTGAAATATCATCATCATACATGATAATGGGGATGAAGGACTACTTTTTTGGTAACAGATGATAACCATTTATTGTTGTTTTCATAATCTACATAACCTACATTCTGAGTTTAATCTGTGATGTAAATAAATCTCTGTTTATCCATTATTGGCAATATGGCTCTAAAAGTAACATCCCTACAATCTATTTGACTGTTCCTTTCTTCCTATTTATCATAAATATTTCTTGCTTACATTAATAATGATTCTTTACCTTTGGCTTGTCTTTGCCAGAAAATTTTTTCCATCAATTTTATTTTTTCTAGATTTGAAAACGATGCAAAATTGTTCTAAATCATCCCTGTGTTCGGCCTTTGTCATAACTCTTAACATTATGACGCAAGTCTCGAGGTCGAGCATGACATGTATTAAGCTAAACAGTTGAATAAATTTTAGTAGTAGTTCTCAAAAAACTTTTCTGTGTTTGCTTTATTTATATATTGTTTGTAACATACATTAATTCATATTAAAAAAATTGTTAAATTGCTCTATATACTAATACACAAAAGTAAGTTTAAATCATGAGAATATTTTACTCAAAAGGCATTTTGAAATCACTAAGCTATTGCAATCTTTTCTTGTAAGAATCTTAAAATTCAAATTTGAAAATGTAATATTTTAAAAATACTGATTTACTAAAATATCTAATCAATTATTATAATTTTATTGTTTAATAAATTTAATCTATTTCTAAGAGGCATTCTCAAATATTAAGAGTACCATAATAATCAAATTTTTAATATTAGTAAATGCATATAGAATCTTTGTAACAGTTTTCAATTTTCCCATCATTAAAAATATTGCATACTTTCTAGAATTATATTTTTTTAAAAAGTATTTGCTAATGATCTATATACAGTAAAATCTGGATTTAATGGATGAAATTTCAGGTCTTTATGTCATATGTGAAAATTAACATCCTGTTAATTTTAAAATGGTTTTTATATGTAATTAAATTAACAGATATTTTCCAAATCCAAGAGTCACTGCTCTTAAATGCAATTAAAGTGTATTTACTAAAAAATGTTTGTTTATTTATTTTAATTTAGATCATATACTTGTTTATTATAGTCTAAGAACTACAGTGAATACATAAACAATAATACATATAGAGTAATTTTCTGTAAAATTAAACTTCTCATACATATGTAGATATATTTGTATAATTAAAATTATGTAAATAAAAAGAGATAAAAATTTGACAAATTAATTAGTTTAACATGCATATTTATAAAATAAAGTAGGTTTTCTGATTGATTTTCGGCTTTAATTTGGACCCCTTGCCCAAATTAGTCCATTAAATCTAGGTNGTTAAAATAGTTGACCAATGCAGATGAAAGCCAATAAAGGATAAGGTCAGAAATTTTGTAATCTGTCTGGGTGGTAAGGTCAAATACAGATTAAGAATGATGTAAGAATAATTATGATTTAGAAAAGTTATCATAACAGATTTTAAAAAACTTACTACTTTTCTTATTAAATTATGAAGTTAGAAATAACACAGATAGAAAATAATTAAACAACAAATTTAAATTACAGAAAGCTTTGTAGTTTTAAATCTATTGTAATTATTTAAATTATTATTTTATTACAAAAACCATATTAAATGAATGACAGGATAATGCTAAATTGGAATATTAATTAAATTAATATTTTTAATTTCTTAGAAAATAAATTAATGTTCTAAGGCTGGTCTTGCGTCTAAGATGATGTAATAAGTCTAGGAATAAAGAGGCCATCTTAGTGCCATAAGTATATAATATTTTTAAATTTCAAACATACATTTTATATAATTTCCTCACACTGTACTAGCACACAAAAAAATTACATATATACATATATATATATATAATTTCATTATATATATATATGTATATATATAATTTAATAATTAGAATTAAATTAATTTAAAATATTCTGGAATAAAAGATTAAACCAGAACTGAAGCAATTTCTGCTTACTGTACCAATTACAATATCCAGACTTCTAACTGATCTTTGTTTCCAGACCAATTAATTTATAAGATATAACCATATTGGTCACTTGTTACAGCTGATAATATATCTGCACAATAAGTTGAAGCTGCAGAGTCTTTCTTTTCAGAATATTCTCAATTAATTTAATTTTAATTATTACATTTAATATAAGATGGCAACTTGATTATCTACTTTTAGTCCAAATTTATTACCTATATATTTAATAAGCTTAGGTTATAGCTCAATAATGAATCTGGTGTTATCATTTAATTATTAATATATAGTTTTGGTTTGATTTACTATACAAATATATATTTTTTCAGGTGGCAAATAATCATATGTACTATCTGAAATATATTTACTAACATTAACATAATTAATTATTTTTCCAGTTAAATATCAGAATTAAAAATATCTTTAAAATTAAATTAATACTGTAAGTATTTTTTCTATTTGGAACATCTTCAATTATATTGAACTAAAAATTTTATTTTAAAAGTATTTTATAAAATATTTACATTAGCCTATAGATATTAAGTGAGCCTTTTTTCATGACCAACACAGATTTGGCAGGCTCATAATGGGGATAGCCAGGTATTAAGAGACAAGATTCAATATATCCAAATCAAACCAACCACAAGGATTTCTGAGATTCCAATATAGATTCAAACTCCGATCTCTCCGAATACAGATCATCTACAGAACTACTTTATCATCTTGGTTAACCAGCTATCTGTTAAATTTTATGTAGCATTATTTTACATTAATTCATAAATGATGTAGTGTTTAATAATCACAGAATTATCTGAAGAGACTTTTTCTTAAGTGGAATCATGTTTTTTTCTTTTTTAAATTGAAAATTCTAAATAAACAAATGGAATATACAGAATATAGTTGATCTAAAAATATTATCTTTCTTTGTAGATAAAGTAGATATAAGCAAATTGTATGTAACTAAAGAAAATGTTTTAAAAATTTTTATGGAAAATTAATTATTTTTACATGATTTTTAATTTATATTTAATTCATTACAAACATGTTTGCAATCTATAAAAATTATTATTATTAACTTTTCTAATTTCAATTTATTATTGTTAGTATTAAAAATTCATAAGTTTAATTTCATTTATTAATTTACTTTACTTGAATTTAATTAAAATGAAACATTACATCAAATTACATATAATATAGTTAAATTGATGTACAAATTTATATTAAATAGGAATATAATAAACAAGAAATTTAATCCTTTGAATCAGAACTGTAATTAATGAAAAATTTTGAAGTTTTTGTAAAAGGAAGTTAAACGTAGTCTATGTACTGTAGTTTTAAAAGTTAATATGCAGTAAATATAAATTGAAAAAAAAATAAGGCATGGGACAAATATGTCCCAATCTGTGTCATTGGTACAAATATATCTTGAAGATACATACCTGCAGTTGGATTTATGACTTAGAAAGTATCTACTTAAAAAAAACCATAATATCTTTTTTCATGTATAGCTAGAAATGGTTTTTGTTGCTCATTGAACACGAATTAATATACAAGTCATGCAGATGACATTTGTTCAGTTGTAAATGTTCCTTTAGGTGCATTATTTGCAGAATTTTTTCATGTTGTGTCTGGTAAGTGGTCACTCTTTTTCTCTCAATCTTTTCTCTTCCATTCTTTGAGATATAAGTGTGGAGAGCATGCTTCTTGTTTGAAAAGGTTCTGATTAGTGATATAACGAATATTCGGTTACTATTCGGTATTCGGCCGAATACCGAATACCTAAAAACAGGAGTAAGAAATAACAAAAACACAGTAAATTAATCATTTTGGTATTTAGATTTAATGTTATCGGGTTAGTGTTGCTTGTTTATATTTATTTATAACTTATAACATGCACAAAATAAAAAAGAAAATAATATTAGTCACATGTATTCACAATTTATAATTACAAAGATCAGCACACGTACACA